ACGTATACGTTGCGAGACGCGTCTGAGTGCTTGCCGTTTTGGTATTTTGGATCCTCTGTAATAGAAATTTAAATCCTAGATGGTCTTTATGCCAACTGAGTTTACACAGAGAAGTCGACATATGTTAATTCTGCAATTTTTTTGCTGTGTAATTTTTATTGGCTCATAAACGAATGGAGAATGTGGTATCTTAGATTAGCGTACAGACGTGCTTCCTAACTCAGAGGAGTTTAGCAAATGAAACTGTGGCAGTAGAACTAGAGAGTATTTGCGCAGAGGGATGCGTAGGCTGATGACAGTGGTTTGCTAGGTGGTGCGCGCTCGCTAACAAACGTGAAGAAGTTTAGAAAGACGTGCTTCTGTACGAACGTGAGAACGGAGAAGTCCTGGACGATTAAAACAAAATTCTGTATCACACTGTGGTGTTTTAGTCCAGTTCCCGTCGGATAAGGACATTTCGGGAAAATGACAGTCTCCTTTTGTCTGAATTACCCATCAGATGTAAATAAGGTACCAAGATCAAATAGTATTTTTCCAAATATACATGAAGAGAAAAATGTAAAAGTAAACAGCGGTATTGCTTAGTCGGGGCTTGTGGCGTTTCTTAGATCTTTTTGCTGACAGAATTGCCCTTGTGTCCTCCGCTGCCGGCAGACGCTTTGTGGAGGTCGGGGACCGCGTTCGTGTCCCGCCGCCTGGTACGAAGCCGCAGAGGAGGACGTGCGCGCTGTAACTGCAGGGTTGGCAGCTCCCTGACCTTCAGGAGAAGCTTGCTCCGTGCTGTAACAGCTAGGTCAGTGCTGGCAAGGTGACAGGCTGGATGAATTGGCTGTCTTTTCTCTCTCTCCTGTGTCAGAGTCTGTATTTTATATGGAAATAATTTCTGTCAAAATGGGAAATTTATCATGAGGTACTTCCTCTGCGGGTAAAATAAGAACGTCAGCCACAGGGCTGTTTAAATCCGTATCTTCTGTTACAAATAGTTGGTGGAGCCAACTTTGTCTGTTGGTGTTGCTGTTGCGTTCCCTCGTGTTTTAGCACAAAGCCGTGTCGCTCCGCTTCTGTGAACTGGCGTCTGATAATAGAAACGTGTAGTAGAAAGTTTACAGTGTTTTCTGATTGTCTTCTACGTGAAAAATTGCCTCAAAATTTCTTATGTATTTATAAGTTATCAGATTTGTCTGTGATTTTGTCAATATGGTGTGTCAGTTTTTTATATCTGTGTGTATGTATGTACAGATATGTTATATATGCATTAATATTGACACTGTGATGTGTTAAGAAACCAAAAGCAATTTATGTGTGTGGACTTCAATATGTCAAACAGCGTAGGTTTTTAATATGCGCGATCTTTGCATAAGCTCTCGAATGTTTAACACGTGCCATTACTTTAAAGGCTGAATGGATGTTACAGCATCCTGGGTTTCTATTAGATGAGGAAGGTAGCCCATGTCATGCATTACACTGCTTTGTGTTGCGGTGTATGTCAAGTGGTGAGTAATTCTGCGTCTTGTCTGAGTAAAGATAGCATTGAGTTTTGTGTGGGGGTTTTTTATGGAACGGTACCACCGTACTGAAGTGAATTCTTCATTGAAATTTTAGTGGGACAATATACTTTTAAAGGTGAGATTAAAAAGGGGGATTATAAAGGGGTAGTAAACCACTGAAGTCGTTGCAGAGTTTGAAGATGGAGGTTTGGCGATAAGATACGGATCCGATGTTTAGGCTTGCTAGATTCAATGAGAGAAAGTGGAAATAACTCGGGACTTCTATTCCCGTCTTCAAAGTATTGCTAAGGGAAGTTTGGCAGAAGCTGGGACAGGAAATTGAAATCTGAATACTGTTTTAAACTGATAGGGTTAAAGGCCTTTCTTTTACACTAGCACACTTGTTCTTTTATTTGATACTTGAACTCTGAAAATTTTCTGTGACTTTCTAGGGAGAAGGAGGAGCAGCTGACTCGGGTGACAGAGGTACAGAGGCTGCAGGCCCAGCAGGCAGATGCTGCCCTGGAGGAGTTTAAGCGGCAGGTGGAGCTGAACTCAGAAAAAGTCTATGCTGAAATGAAACAGCAGGTGAGAAGGTCACAATGCCAGCCTTTCTCCAACTCTGTCGCAGTAGGATAGCATATTCTGATCTTATAATGCCAGAAACATGCTTCACTTGACAGTGCTACATCAAAATCTTTCACAATGTAGTGTCTTTTGCTCACAAGTCAAAAAGGGATGTTAGCAGTTGTTTCATCTTTCTAACAAAGGCAGGATTGTCATTGTTATAGAGAGATCTGCAGTTATGTTCCTGATTAGGGATTTTTGGGGAGTGAGAGTATAAAGTGTTAGTTTATACACCGCAATGGAACAATGTTGATAATTTTCCACTTCAACGTGTGTGTCTCCCCCTACTCTTTTTGGAACAACTCTGCCTTCCATTAATGAGGTCAGTAGTCAGGGTGCGCATAAGCAGAGGCAGACTCGTTGTGGCTGCTGTCATTCATGATCCAGTCACAGTAAAATCCATTTTTCTTCCCCTGAAAATTAGTAGCAATAATTATGTACAAAGATTTTAGTGTGTTAAACTCCTTATGGAAGAAACAATAGTTAAACCATTGTCCAAAGGTTTTTACAAATACGGCACAAGAACTGAAATGAGGAGCAAGAGGCAGACAAGCGATTGAAAAGAAGGAAAAAGAAGGGAATGTTTTAACTTGTTCACAAGGTCAAAATATCTATATGCATCTCAAACTAGTAATTCTCCTTGACCATTTACTCGATTTTACACTCGCCTGTCATAACCAAAGCTAGCTGTTGCCAGTAAGACGCTGTAATCTGATATTGTAATGACTATCTAGGGATACTGATACTGTAGTACTATTTAAAAGAAAAAAAGAAAAACTTCAGTCACAAAGCTTCTCTCTACCCCTTACTGAAGAGTTGGGAATGGAAACAACAGCAGATGTGATGTTGTCCCATTTCCTACTACTGAACATCAATAGAGCACTCTGCAATAGTGTTTGTGTTTTTGATATCCTTTGGAATGAAAAGGTTGTCTCATATGGAGGATATATTTTATGGGCAAAATAATGGAAAATGGGTTTAATAATTTAAAATAATGACAGATAATTGAAAGGCAAGCATGAGATGATTAAGACAGAGTTTTTCCTGGAAATTAGTAACTTTAAGTTCATATTAATGACAAAACACAAACCAGAAATTGGTGGGGAACAAAGCTACTGTACTTGAAATTTTTTTAGAAGAATAAAATATTTTGTCATATGTTTATAGTTTAACAAATTCTCTTTTTGTCATTCTTGGAAGTTTTGCTTTTTTCTAGAATCTTCAGCAAAAGTGAGAAATGTAGGGCATTGCTGATATTTTTAAGGCCTTTGCATACAGCAAATAACAGAATTTGGAAATAACAAAGCAAGAACAAGCTCGCAAAGCAACTTTTGTTTTACAGACTGTACCCATGAGGGCAATAGAACAAATCCTGTTTTAAAGTCAGTTTTCTACATCCTATAGTATGAGACTCTTCTCCAGCTTCCTCAAGATGACTTAAAATAATATTTTATTTCTGCTCCAAAATGGATATAGTCTCATTCTTGAAAGACTGATAATGGTTTCATTCACTTTAAAAAAAAAAAAAAATTACAAACTCAATTGTCATTTAAAAATTACTGTAAACTTCCTTTGAGAATATTGCTCTCTTCTGGGAAATTCTGAGGATAAATTTTGCTGTGCTCCAAGAATCAGCCATGGAGTTGTTTTGTATGGGCTTGTATGCTGAGAAATAGAAATTGTAAATAATATATATATATGACTAAGCAGTTTGTTCATTCTTCATACTTTATTGATCCCTCAAGCCAGATTAATGTTACTTCCATTCAGTATTAAACACTGAGAAAAGAGATTGCTTTGTGACCGTTTAAAAAAAATACGCATCTCATGGTACAAGATTTTGTTAGGAAATATCTGGTCTAACAGAATTTCTGTTAATGTATAACTTAACCCTGATTTTCCTGATAATACTTTGGAAATACACCTCTGTGGTCATCCTTTATTGACAGTTGATCCCTCTCACCTTGCTGTTTTCCTTTGGACTTTCGAAATTAGCAGCTTTGATGCTAAGAGAAGCCTGGAGCTGCTGAAGACCTCAGCAGGGAGAAAGGTCGAAAACAAAGTATCGACTCCCCTTATGCATGAGATCTGGCACATGGACCTCTGTGGTCCCTTGATGGGAACGATACCTCCTCACAAAGGACTCTGACAAATAATTCCCCTCTCCTGGCACTTTGTGTGTAGTAGTACTTCTTAATCTATGAGGCATGCAAAAGCAATCTACTTGTGAAAATCTACCAGAACTTTATCTGTGACTGGTGGTATCAAACCTCCTTATAATCATATAACCTTTACTATGATGAGTAGTTTTCAATACAGTTACTCTGAGTATAGTACTATCCAATATAGGTCTAAAAACCAGATCTCTCCAAAATCTAAAAGACTGAGTGAAATCAAATTGTGTCAAACTAGCTCACACCTTTGCTAATATTAAGAATATTTTAGTATCAAAATTATTTCATGTTTGTAGTTTACCAGCTAAGGTGCTCTGAGCCCATGGAAAATGTTTAGCCTGTGGTTTTTAATGTATGATTTCCATGTGCTATTATGGAGAAATTCAGAATGGAAGTCTTAGTATTGCCATATCTGATACTCTCTGACTTCTGGCAGTCTCAATATTGTTTCTAAAAAAGGTGTTTAAAAAAAAAAACAGAGAGTTGTAGGACATGACAAACTACTGTTCTACGGTGAACAAGGCTGAAGGAAATGCATCAAAGGAACAGTACTGAGGCTGTCTTCATTGCTTTGTCCTTTCTCATTCTTCTTTATATACATACTCTTTTTAGATAAGTTGTCTATTATGTGAGTTAAATATTGGAAAATTCTGTTTTTTGCAGTTAGAGGGAATATTCTACTTATAACACTAAAAACTGTAGTAGCTTTAGCAACACTGTATTCTGAACTGTGCTAAAAATATTAGGCTTCTGAAATCATCTCTTTGTGGTTGAGTTAATTATGGAGATAAGTAGAATGGAGTCTGGCATTTTCAGTTCTTGTAATCAATATTTGATTCATTAGTTGGCTCCGTGATATTTCGTGCCATCTGCTTCCCATTTGGTCAAACTTATTATTAAGAGTCACCTGATGCCCACTGATGGATGACCAGTACATTCTTAACTGTAAGATCGGCTTAATTTTCCAAGAGTAAGTAGCAAAAAAGAAAAGCAATACATAGACTATATTGTTGTACTTAGGCTGTAGTGTTTCTTGGTCTGGCAAATAACGATCAGGAACCTTCATTGCATTTATAGCAAATATATGAATTTGATCTATTGATTAAAGCACAAAACCTATAGAGTTAAAGCATCTTTGCGTGTTTTTATCTGTTTTACTTCTTAGAATGCTTTTATTGTCTTAAAAAGCATAACCCTTTAATAAAGTAATAAGATCTTTTATTGTGCTTTGAGCTGAGGAAAATATGGCTATGGAGCTGCAACTCAAGGAGGCTTGGACATGGGAGAAATTATTCCTAAAAATATTCATAGAATTCCCTTTTCTTAATAGCAGATAGACGTAAGGTTCATTATCTACTGCAAGGTCACTGATTTGTTGCCCTCTGTTCTGCACTCCCCCCTTCCCTCCTCTTTCTCCTTGGACAACAGCTCCTAGTCTTGCATCTTCCTCTCTTCCTGCAGCGTTTTCCAATAAAATGCTTTTCCCACAGCGGGTACTGCCTTTTCTCCTTGCTCTCTGACTTAGAAGTCATGTCCAGGCCGATTGGCAAAGACATCTATAGAAGACAGAGCACTCCCTTAGGCCAAATAGGATTTTGGCTTGTGGTTCAGGACTTTATTACGTTTCTTCTTTTCGTGCAGCAGATGGACTTGTGGCAACACTGATGTTCTTGACAGTTATGCTCCTCTTCCTTTCTGTCCTTTTCGGGTTGATAGTTTATTTGCTACTCGTGTTGGGACCTAGATCTAAAAGTTATTGATGAGTGTGCAGTGCAGCACAGTACTGCGTGTGTGTTCCCCTGGAAACATACATGATGTGCAGCTAACAGTTGTGCTTTTGATACAAAAACCTTTGTTAATTGGGTTATGAAATTGCTTCCTTGATGCTGTATGCTGGAATCTGCGGGACTCATTATTCATAGGCGATGACTATCTTCAGAGAACTTTACTTGCAGCCAAATAATTTTCTTTTAAGTTATTTTACTGATTTAATGTAAATTTATTTTAAACGTGTAGTTTGTGCACTGACTCACACATTACTTTATTCAAATTTCCACAGGCAATGTGTTTTTAAAAGAAAATAGACTTAACTCCTAAGTATGTCTAGAAAAAAATACTCGGTTAATTTTGATATTCACCACTGTCAGGTGAAAATCTAAGCCAATGTTTTGTAATGAGTGACATGATATAGGTTATAAGTATATCTGTAAGTAACTAATGATCTTATTTACTGAATATTCATTTTCGTGCCATATAATATTTAACTATTGTTATTCTCATTGAGTTATGTTCAGGTCTTTGATGGTAGCAAACAGCTGTAAAAATGTCAGAATGTTTGAAACTATGCATTTTTAAAAAAATTAAGTATTCCCTTTCTTTTACCATGTAGATGGAAAAGGTAGAAGCAGATCTAAGCAGATCAAAATCTCTCCGGGAAAAGCAATCTAAAGAATTCTCATGGCAATTGGAAGAGCTCAAGCAAAGATACGAGCAACAGGTCAGTTTGCTGCTTTGGGTGGAGGGAAGGAGTGACGTTTTTTTCATGCAGATGTAAGTCAGTTCTTATGGCACTCTTAATCCTGTCGTCTCTCTCTGTTCGGCTGCTCTTTCCTTTCTGTAAAGACAGAGCTTATAGGTGTGCAGAGTTGGGAGGGGGTGGGGAGTCTGAATAGGAAATATTTTTGTTTCCTCTCTGCAAGCCATCGTACCTCTGACTGTTTCAAATTGTTTCCTAGGCTTACAGGTGACAAAAACTATTTTTATGATGACCAGATAAAATCTTTTAGTGACATTATCCGTGTTTCTTCTTGTCAAGAAACGATGTGTTATTCTTTTTATCACTTTAAACATAAGGAGTGTTTGTACGTATGCTTGTTTGGCCCCTCTCCCTCTTTTTTTTTAATTGCAATTTCAGAGCTGGGAAATATTCAGGAAACATTTGAGTGGCAACAAGAGACTTCAGCTCAGAAGTGTTGCTAAGTGGATAGGGGAAAAAATATAAATAGAAGCAGGCAAATTATTGCATGATACAGGCAAGAGAGCTGCGCAGCTGCAACAGCCTCTCAAACCCTCGCTGTAAGGCACTGCTTTCTCGTGGAAACCAAAGCAATGTCTCTTTGGTAACAGCTGTTAAAGGGTGGAAAATTTTTTTCTTGATCACTTTCTGAAGGACAGCAATGATGTAGTTAGTTTGTAAACGTCACGTTCTCTCTCATCGGTGTTTCTGAGCTGGTATGAGTTTACATTCCCATGAGGGAAATGTATTTTCATTTCCTGTCCAAGTTTATCTTCCATGCTGGTAAGAGGATGAAATACTGGAGACAGCTTATGATACGAGACGTGCTTTGCTCCTTCTAGAAGGGTCTTTTCCAAGTAATTAAGGAACAGGATCTCAAGATGGTGAGAGAGAGCGTATCCCACGCGTGGGAGGACCAACAGTGTGCTTTGTGCATGGCGCTCAAGTGAAATTGGGATTGAAGCGAGTGTGATGATTCAGATCAGAGTATCTTCCTTATCCTCGCTCAGAATCGTCAACATGACTAATTGGGATGTCGTCTGACAACTTGGCTGTCCTGTGTAATAGCGCGGTACACCTACACAGGCACTGGAGGATGTTAGTTATGGTTCTTGTGTGTAATGCTTTGGGAATGGTCTCAGTTGCAGAGCTGTGAGGGGTTTTGTTTTGTGGGTTTTTGTGGTGCACGTGAACTAATTTCTCAAAAGAACAGGACAAATTCTGCTTCTCTCCTGTAATTTAGTGGAATCTCTGGAATAAAGGGTAGAAATCACAAATACATTTACTGCTATAGAATCATGGGAATGAGTTTTTCTCAAATTATTTATTCATGTAAAAGGCATTGCAATAATTTGTGGCATTAAAGGCCAGGAAGCTGAATGTGTCAGCTGAAGGACATACTAGAGGAAGGAAAGAAGATGAGAAGTGTCAGGATTAGTTGGGCGTCTACCTTAAGGTGGAATTTTGTAAATGTGAATCTTATGTTCGCATCGTTTTAGTGTTATGGTTAGTTCACTTTTCTTTACCATTTTCATGATTTGTGATGTATCTTTAAAGCCCCAAGCAAGCATTTATTCAAAGACTTTGTTCTTAGTTTTAGGGACATGATCTATAGCGATAAAAACTAATTTGCAGTTTGTCAGAAATTAAATGGATGTTACGATGTTTCTTTCTCTAATAACAAATGGTAATTTTTTTCAGTGTAACCCCCTCTACCTTTGTCTCTTGAACAGAAGTATCCTGTTTATGTCCTATTATCATATTGTTATTTCTATTTGTATTTCATTTAGACTATTCTTTAAAAGCTTGCAAACAAAAAATCTGTGACCCCTACTACAGATTGTGATGGATTATCATTGAAAACTATGACGTTTGCGTTGTCCTTCCTACAATGTAAGGCTACTTCAGGACACCTGCGTAGTGGTTTGAACTCTGTTCTTCCGCTCTTAAAATTTCCCTTTAATTGGACTAGAAGTTTCAACTTCTGTTCCTCCGTTACTCTCTTCTTACTTGAGAAATTCTGTACTATTTTTAAAGTAGACTTTTCCTTGCCTTGTTTTACTGTTTAGTCTCCAAGTAGCAACCTAAGAAATAATAGATTGATTTAAACAAACTCTTTAATTAAGCAATAATTTAGAAGAGGTATTGCGTTTCGGCATGGCCCTAGCAGACTTCCAGTCAGGAAAGAGACACCCAACTAAAAACTGGATACTTCAATTATCTTAGGAATGTAATAATCACTTTGTGATGTTCTGCCTCAAGTGTCTGAATGTTATTATGAAATGGAATTCATATATGAAGAGAAGGAAAATTGATCTTCGAATATATTTGCATGGATGGGAATGGCAGGTGGCTGAAGTATCACTGACAGCCTGCTAGAGACTTGAGTTAAATTTAATCCAGTTGATAATGAAGAGGCAAACGAAGTGGTGTGTTATCCAATCTGAACTCGAGGAGCATTTTGAAGGTGTAGGAACTCGAGGGCTGTGGATTTATGCATGTGCTTTATGTGAATGGTTGTCTGGGCTTCACACTACTCTCGTTGAATACTGATTTTGGCGATGACTAAAGTGAATGTTGGTTATAGGTCTGGAAGACTGATGTGCCTGTAGATGAGATATAGTGATACAACCTAACATCGTCGTGTTTTGATTTTGATTTTCTTTTTAAGAATTAGTGCCCCCCACCCCTGAAAAAAACCCATGGCAGTTCCTATTATGTTAACTTTTCAAATTCATTTGAATTTTTTAATAAAGTGAAGAAGAAATTGGGGATCTTGCAGTATTTGGTTTCAGCTGTCATGTGTCACTCTGGGTTTCAGCTTCATCTGATTCAGTGTCACTTTCTTTTGAAGTATCCACTGAGAACACTCTTAGAAATTGACGTATTTTTTTTCTTTAAATGTACTTTAACTCAACTTTGTTCTACTTGCAGCTGTTAGATTTGAAAGTGTATTTTGAAGAAAAAAATAACTCCAACAGCCCCACGGTCCCTATCTGCTGGCAGCAGCTGTTTTCGGCACTTCAAAGCCAGTGGACACCACAGCGAAGGCCTCAGCCTTTCCTGCCTTTGAAATGGTCGCAGGATCTATAGGCAGGCTTTATGGCACCATCAGCACAGGAAAAAGGGTTATTTGGTTTTGTGTTCCCCTCTTCCTGCCCCCTCTTTTTTTTTTTTTTTTTTGCCCTTTCTTTTGGCACTTTCTGAGGCTACAACATGCATAATCTGCTGAAATCATTTTCCAATATTTGAAAGGATGCACACCCAAACTTTACAGTAACAGATTTCAGGCAGGCAAATTAACAGCAGAGTTGATGAATTTTCTTTTTCCCCATATCCAAATTGGCTAGGTGCTTTCTGAGAAGATGCCACTACTGGAAAACGTGCTGCAGTGTTGGAAGTCTGCAAACTGGCTGTGGCCCAGGAGCAGAGGCTTTGTGACAGCACAGGGCTTCAGACAAGGGGGCTTCACAGCGAGGGGCAGAGAAGGCCCTTCAGAGCCTGGGCAAGTAATCTCAGCCTCCTGTTATTTAGCGAGTCTTCAGAGTTTTGCGTAGAAACCTATTTCAGGCCATTTTATGTTGAGACAGACAGACAAACACACACGCACTGATGGGCATATTTAGAGATGCAAGACTAGTAAGAGTCAAGGTCTATGAAACTTCTTTCGCAGAAGGGAGAAGGTGCTGTGAAAATGTTGATGCAGGATGGTGTTGTTTGCCGAGTTTTGGACACGCTTTTTAATTTATAAATAAATCTTTCTTTTTGTTTTCTCTTTCACTGTGTTTATTCTATTCTAAAATAATAATCATTCATGCTTACCTAGCAAAGTGGAAAGCTAGGAAAAGTATTACCTGAGAGCTGAGGAATCTCCCCGTATCTGAGGAAGTCCGTTCATGCGACAGCTATTGTTAGGTCCCGACTTCTGCAGAACTTGTGAAGGAATAATTAGAGTTGTCATCTTGTTGTGTTTAGTCAAACAGGAAAGAAACAGCATACCTTCAGCAATGTTTTACTGGAGATTTAACAAGAAAATCACTTTGAAATCATGTTGAAGATGATAGAAAATGGTCCAGACTTTCAAGTCTGGAACTCCACAGAGGTGTGGCTGAGCTGGTGTGTGTCTTTTATATAAACAAAAGGGAGGTAGATAAGTGCAGGATCAGCTAGGTAAAAGTGAAAAAAGCGTGGCTATAATCTTACCTGCCAGTAGCAAGGGCACTTATTTAAGGTAGCATAGGGAAATTGTTCTTATTTCAGTAGTATGCTGGAGCAGAGGAATATATTGTTAGGGGAGGGAAAAGGATAATCTTTTATATCTTTCTGTATCCCTTTTCTTTTATAACTTACTAATGAGGTTGATTAAAGAAGAACATACTTATTGCAAAGGTAAAATATGACTTCTGTAATCACAACCATTGTTTTTATACATAAATGCATATATTTAGAAATAAAACCTATACACAGTGCTGGGTTTGTTATTAAGGTTTCAAATACTTAAAATATCTTGTGTGGTGTCTTAAAAATAGCCTAAGAAAAGAAAATCCTGCTAATTTTTAGTTATTTAACCTTGTGCCAAAAGATTTCGGCAGTGTTTAGGTGATTAAGGCTGAGATGATGTTGTTTTGCTTTTGCTTAGAACTGTAGCGATGCTTTCTTGAAATGCGGGGAGTAGGGTATTTTTGACCTGGGTGTGTTTTTTATTTCTTCCCTTGAAGATCAGCTCAAATGTAATTGAGGTAATCAACGAATTTAGTTGAGATTACTCAAGTATATTTAGGTAATCAACATTTTTAGCTCAGGTATACTGGAGTTCAGCAGCTAAATGTTCTGAAGGTTGTGTCCTCGCTGATAATTTTTCTATCTTCTCTAGGAAACGGGGCCAGAAAAGATTATATATGAAAGGGTGGAGTAAAGGCTGTGACCTAGTGAGAGAGAGGGAAAATACAGCTTAGCTGAGCAACAGTGAGTAGGGCTGAAGC